ACATTTGAAAATTCACTTTCTTCTAAAATTTAAACAATTGAGCTGCTCTATAACGATCACCATGCTATTTGGAAGTAAAATAATGATAGCATGTAAGCTAAAAATTTAATGGGCAATCTTGATCTCCGTCAGTTGGTTCAGCGAGCCACATGTAAAAGGTCACAAGTTTAGTATAATGGCTTCAAGAGCTCATGCGGTGCATCATTCTGATAATATTTAGTCTGATGAAAAAAAAGAGAAAATCCAGTTGCAACTTGCATTTACATTGTTATGCCTCATTGAGGCCTGATGGCAAAGAGAACACACCTCGTATGATTTCCTATTAGCTGAGGTTTAGGATAATTTCCCCGGGGTTTTATCTTAGCTTTCTTTCCTGACTGAATGCAGTGAAATATATGTGTGATGGTTTGTACATGTGACCTAATTGGTCCAGTGATTTTGGATACAAACTATTTTAAAGATACAAACTCTGTTTTATATTTCTAGCATACTTTGCTATCAGTTGACCATACGTTGCTGTAAGTTGCATCACTTTGTGTCTTGCTGGATGTAGTCAAGCAGCAAATGGCTTTCATGCACTGATTCCTTTTTAATGCGATGTAGCATTATATATTCTTGGTCTCTGCTTTAGCTCTAATGTGCCATTACACTTCAGCCCTATTTGCTCCGGCTTGAGCATAATTCAGTGGCGAACATCACTTGCCCTAAAGTGCGCTTAGGCAAGGGCTTTGGCAAGGCTTATGCATTCATAGCCTCTGATGTTTCTTTATGGCGTGATAGTTGTCCCTGATTCCGTGTTATTGTTACTATAGAGCTGCCTGTCAAGTTTGTGAAGAGACTCAGGGATAAGATAGCGATGTACAAGCATCGTGGTCATCTTGAATGCCAAGTGTCACGTGCCAGTGCAAAGGTGAAGTGGTACAAGAACAAGACGGAAATCAAACCCAGCAAGAAGCACGAGATCAGAAGTGAAGATGTGTACCGAAAACTCACCATCAATGATGTGGACTCCGGGGATGAAGACTCATATACCTGTGACGCTACTGATGACAAGACGTCCTGTAAACTGCTTGTAGAAGGTAACACAATAGAAGATGACGAAGGTTAATTTTAAGCTTGGAGTCAGGTTTAGCAATTGTAGGGTCTCTGTGTTTGACTGCAACTATATACATACTCAACAAATCAAGCCATCAGACAATGAGGTATCTGTTTGTCTGTCTACTTATCTATTTGTGATGAAGTATATGTATTAATGGAAAACAGTGGAAGATTATTTTTGCATCAAGTTTAATCTACTAAGGAATTGACAATAGAAATTGGTATTTAGAATTATTTTGTTAAAACAAAATTAACAATTTAACGCCACTACAAGTGAAGTAACCTGTGCAGTTGTTTTCAGTTATTCTGATTAAAAGGCATCTGTATCTGCATTCCAGTTAAGTCCATTGACAAAGAATAGGCCTTCTTCATGGAAGACATTTGATGTCACAGTAGAAGAAGTACAAGTGTAAAAGTAAATGTCATGATGAGGGAATTATTTGCTTGATTTTGGGTTGCTGATATTGTGCATGCTTGCTCACTGTCACAATGTCTGTGCTCACAAGGATCCTTGAATAGTCATTGTCAATGTTATGATTAACATTTGTGCTTTTCCTACTGTGACAAGTCAATAGAGAGAGATGTCACAATATGTGAAAACACTGGTGTGATTGTACCACAAGTGTATAGAGGCTTTAGAATCTGACAAAAACCCTAGTAGATGATTTAGTTTGAGTTGCACTGCATGTAC